CCCCAAAACCCCAAAACCCCAAAACCCCAAAACCCCTATAATTACAGCTCAAATTGAGAAATAGTTAATATAATTAAAATGGAGAATACCAATTACAACGAGCAGTTCCAGAGCATTACAAACAGAGTTGAGAGGAGTAAGTATTGTCCCTTCTTACATCTGTAGGCTCCCTTGCTATAAAAAATACTCCTCCGGTGAAGGAGATCGTTATTAGTAACCCTAAGTGGTCTAATCTTGGCATGTAAGCTTCCATTATAATAAGATTTTATAGAAATCCACTAAAAGGACATCGTATTTTTACAATTAAAACCCGGTGGAACATTGACGTCAAAGGAGACAGTGATTTCACAAGCACTGTGCAGAGAAGATATGGCCACTTCTTGTGGCTAAGAGAAAAACTTTTATCAAAGGAACCCTTTGAGCCCATCCCACTGCTTCCTCCTAAAAATTGGTTGATGAGGATCGAGAGTGATAACTCTGAGAAAGTTATTGACAGAATGAACAGACTTCAACATTTCTTGACTATTATCGTCACTAATCCAGTTCTCAACGCTATTGATGATGTCAGGGATTTCTTGGTCGACACTGACGAAGAATTCTATGAGAGCCAATACCAAGATGAAGCTAGCAAGACAAATCTATCAGACATTATTGAAAGCACTAAGGGTAAGTTTAAACTTTCCTATCTAAAATAGGTAATATCTGGAGTATTGGTAAAACATTAGTCGGAAGAATCCCTTTCATTAACAAAAAGTAAGATCCCTACTGATTCTTTAGAAAAGACCAAGCCCCTTCGCCTTACGAGATTGAGCTGCATAAAATGAGGGTAGCTCTAGACAACCTTAACAATAGTTTCCAAAACCTTGCTGAAGGCATCACCAAAGGTAAGGAATTTTTAAATGAAGATTTCTGACAAAGTTTTCTTTAGAAATAGAATTCAAAAAGAAGATTAGTTTTTTACAGATAGAGTTTGGACAAATTTCATCAGAGATTGGACAAGGGATCAAGTCCAATAAGAAGAATAAGGGAGTACTTGGTTCTGTCTTTAATGCTACAAACTACCTCGAAGCTCTAGTCGGTATCGATCCCATGAAAAAGGTCAGCGAGAAAGATAAAGAACTAGTGGATGGAATTAGAGAAGACCTCGATTTCCCACTTTCTACGCACCAGGTTCTACTAAACAGCATGTATGAATGTCTTGAAAGAGTTGAACTGAAGATCCAAACTCTTGATGAATGAACTGAAATTTTAAACCAGAAAATTTCTATGAATAGAAGGCAATCCAATGAGTATAAATATGGCAATGCTCAAATGCAATTAGAAGATGAGATTAAAGATAATTTCTCAAAGCTCTACACTAACTTTGAGCTTATTAAAGACTCAACTGAAGACTTAATTTTCAAGTAAATTTTTAGTCTCATAAAATAGTAAGGTAAAAGAGAACTTTGTTGATAAGCTAATGAGTCACTCAAGCATTTGCGACAAGTCTATCGCTGATTCTTGATGCAGGGCAGAAGAAGAAGCCAGTCAGGAAATGCAAAAAATTCCTGCTGAGACATATAAAGAAGAGAAAAGTAACTTTATCCAACTTAAATTTAGAAATTAAAGAAACTAAATCCCCGATGAAAGAGAGTAACCAACAGATTCGCCGTGATTTGAGTAATATTAAGAACATTGGAATGTCTTCATTCAAAGATGCAGAAGAGGTAAATGATCTTGTTTTTGGAAGAAACAATGCCATCCAGAAATATCCCAGAGTCAAAGTTCCTAATTCTGAACTACTTCCTCCCAAAAATGTTACCCATGCGTACATTAACAAAGCTAACAACAATAAAGCTTACGTTGATCTTAGTGATGAAGAATCAGAAGATGAAAATGAGACCACAGCTGGCTTTGGACGAGGAATGAAGAGTGTAATAGGAACCACACAAGCAGTCCCCAAGACCACATCCAAAAAGACCAAATCCAAAGCTAAGATATCTGCTATATAGTCTCTAAGGGACTAAAATTTGTTAAATTATCGAATAATCTTCAAAAATAAACCCTTTTTAGTTCTGAAATTGGCCCTCAACCTTTATTTTCAACTCTTATCTTAACAGACGGGGTTTTGGGGTTTTGGGGTTTTGGGGTTTTGGGGTTTTGGGGTTTTGGGGTTTTGGGG